CTGGAGCCAATCAGGTTTAGTCAGTGTGTTGTTTGAATTTAAACACAAGTAAACACAATTTTTTTTGGTTTGTTTTGTTTTTTTCACATATGATGTTGAAATCCTTGTGGGAATTTCAGAAAAATATATTAGAAAATAAAGGCGTCAAGCTTGAACAAGTTTATAAACACCTAGCGTATTACAATTAAGGTATCATGTAATGAACAACAGCCTAATCAACCAAAGTAGCATAACCTTTTAAGTAAAACTGAACAACATATTAAACAACATATTTTAAATATCGCAATGCTTAATAATAGTTGACAAACGTTTGTACATTGTAAATGTTAAAAATGTTTTTCAAAATATTGTACTTTTCCAAATATTAAAATTACAAATACATAAATATTTAAAATATAACCATGTGTAGGCCTACTGCAATATAAAGTACATTAAAAACCCACTAAAAGTGTAATAATGCTGTTATGTTCTTACACAAAGTAGACATAAACTATACTTTAAGTAAGGGTAACATAAGTATGTTTTCTATAAATCCACTAAAAAGTCACTAAAAGTATGCTTGTGTTTAGTATATCCCTTAAAAGTGTAACTAAAAATATATTTATTAACATAGTATTTCTACTATACTTTTTAGAAATATACTAATAGTGTGCTTGTATTTAGCATATTCCTTAAAAGTGTAACTAAGCATATATTTATTACCAAAGTATTTGTAGTATACTTTTTATAAATACATTAAAAGTATGCTTCTGTTTAGCATATTTCTTAGAAGTATAATTAAGCATATATTTAATACAAAAGTACTTCTAGTATACTTTTTAGAAAAATATTAAAATGCAATTCAATATATTTTTATTGCACTTCAAGCATGTTGGTATATACTACTTGAATTACAAGTATATTTTTAATACATTTAATACTACGTCTTTTTCACCTGGGCACCGCCTGTAAATACATGATTGTTAGAACAATATGTCTGAATAAACTTGGTTTCATGTGCTGTTGACTTGTATTTATTCATTGTCTTGGTTACTTTTATTTATTCTTTTACTTATTTATTCATGTTACCTGTTGTTGTCAGTAAATAAAATATAATTGTTTCATTAACATATGCATTAATTCATTACTTGACTGAAATTGAGATGTATTCACCTTGGTTGCATTTGTCTAGTAGTGTGTAGTCATGCATAGCTATGATATATGAAAAAGCAAATTACATTTAGCTTGTTTTACTAAAAAAATATAATTAATTATTGGTCAGCATTTTTCATTATTATTGTTCATAAATGTTGGGCTAGCAATGCATTCTGAGGTAATCTTAATTTCTAAGTAGTAATACTTAAATTTTTCGAGTGTAAATTCAAGTCTTCTCCAAAGACGAGATATTTGAGCAGCTGCCTGACATCTCCTTTGTGCAGATATTACAAACATTGCAAACATGGAGGAAAACGTACTAGGTAGGGTTGTGGATTTATTGGTGCTATGAGGTATTTGTGCACCTGTCACTCTTTTCACCTGGGCACCGCCTGTAAATACATGATTGTTAGAACAATATGTCTGAATAAACTTGGTTTCATGTGCTGTTGACTTGTATTTATTCATTGTCTTGGTTACTTTTATTTATTCTTTTACTTATTTATTCATGTTACCTGTTGTTGTCAGTAAATAAAATATAATTGTTTCATTAACATATGCATTAATTCATTACTTGACTGAAATTGAGATGTATTCACCTTGGTTGCATTTGTCTAGTAGTGTGTAGTCATGCATAGCTATGATATATGAAAAAGCAAATTACATTTAGCTTGTTTTACTAAAAAAATATAATTAATTATTGGTCAGCATTTTTCATTATTATTGTTCATAAATGTTGGGCTAGCAATGCATTCTGAGGTAATCTTAATTTCTAAGTAGTAATACTTAAATTTTTCGAGTGTAAATTCAAGTCTTCTCCAAAGACGAGATATTTGAGCAGCTGCCTGACATCTCCTTTGTGCAGATATTACAAACATTGCAAACATGGAGGAAAACGTACTAGGTAGGGTTGTGGATTTATTGGTGCTATGAGGTATTTGCACCTGTCACTCTTTATTATTATTACTGCAGAACTTATAATTACATACAAGCTCAGGGAAAAATGGTAGTATCTTTAACAATGAACAATCATAATGACAAAAAAACAGAAAACAAAACTATGATGGGTTTACCTACATCATAGTATGAGATTATATACACAGTAAAAAAAAGATTAAATATCTTTGAATAATCATAAAATGCATACAATCATAATGCATAAAAAATTACATTTGTTTTTGTTATTTATAAGCCTCAGGGATGAAACGAGAGAGACATTCAACAAGAAAAAGGAGATTTGAGCCAGTTTTGCATGTGGATGAACAATTTTGCACATAAAATTAAGAAAGTATTAACATATTCAAGAGATAACGAGTTTGTTTTTTTGTAATAAGAAATAATATCTTTAAGGAATAAACTGGGTTATATTAGAAGAGTTAAAATTATAAAAACTTCAACCCAAAATGTATTGGTTATACTACAATCACAAAGGCAGCTTCTTCAACAAGACCAAAAATGAGCAAATTTCATCAACATCAAAATATTTACAGATAGATAAATTAAACCTGTCGCTCATATCTTTTAAGTTGTTGCGCTTGTTATAACGTCATAGATCACATGATAACGTAAACATGGCGAATGGCATTCATAATCAACGAAATTTGGCTGTACAGTATGTACTCTTTTAGCGCTCTTTAAGTAAGTACTTATTGAAATTAAGTACCTACTGGTCAATTCCAGTATGTCATTTCGGACGCAGCCAGTATTTTATCAGAGAATATTTGTTTTCGATATGACTTAATTTAAAAATACACATTTTCTCTGTACTTATTTGTCATGTCTGTGAGGCAAGTATTTGCTGAGTTTTGGTTCATTTTTGTGACACGCTTCAGAAAGAAGTTCATGGAGACAGAGACAGCAGGAAGGTTTTCTATTCAAGAGATAACGAGTTTGTTTTTTTGTAATAAGAAATAATATCTTTAAGGAATAAACTGGGTTATATTAGAAGAGTTAAAATTATAAAAACTTCAACCCAAAATGTATTGGTTATACTACAATCACAAAGGCAGCTTCTTCAACAAGACCAAAAATGAGCAAATTTCATCAACATCAAAATATTTACAGATAGATAAATTAAACCTGTCGCTCATATCTTTTAAGTTGTTGCGCTTGTTATAACGTCATAGATCACATGATAACGTAAACATGGCGAATGGCATTCATAATCAACGAAATTTGGCTGTACAGTATGTACTCTTTTAGCGCTCTTTAAGTAAGTACTTATTGAAATTAAGTACCTACTGGTCAATTCCAGTATGTCATTTCGGACGCAGCCAGTATTTTATCAGAGAATATTTGTTTTCGATATGACTTAATTTAAAAATACACATTTTCTCTGTACTTATTTGTCATGTCTGTGAAGCAAGTATTTGCTGAGTTTTGGTTCATTTTTGTGACACGCTTCAGAAAGAAGTTCATGGAGACAGAGACAGCAGGAAGGTTTTTCAGGAAGGTTTTCAGGTTTTCTTTATTTTACAAAAGCACAATGTTTTGTTGTTATAGTTACTGTACACACATAAAATTAGACCATTTACAGTTTGAATGATGTATTACTCTTAACTATACGATAAAAAAAATGATGCAGTGGGCCGGGAATGATATATTGTGCCTCCAGCTTGCAAAAGAAGGTCCTTCCTGTCTGCTCCCACATTGAGGCGCTGAGGTATGTACATTTCTCTGAGTGAAAGCAGTTTGCCCTGGGACCTCAGTATTGCCTGTTCAAATCAGAATATGGCAACCCCTAAAGTCTGCAAGGAAGTATATCAGAGCAACAAATAAAGCCAAAATGTCCAGGCAATTTATGCACCACGAGAGTTGAGGCCCTCTCCAAAGCCCCCGAACTGAGCTACCTTCCAGGATCGCTCCCTAGCCTATGAGGGAAGCATCCAGTCTGAGGGAAGCTGACCTAGGGTATGCTCGGAGAACTGAGTTCAGTGTCCTGAAGCAGCTGACTGGGGGGCAGTAACTGAACTGAATCTTGTGTAAGCCTCCTTGGAGGTGAACCCTGAGATTTGCATTTGGCCTAGAAATGACGGAGAATAAACCTTTGAAAAACTGCCATCTGGAGCAAGTGGTTCAGAGCCACGAAAGGGCTGAAGCCATCTTGAAGCCATCTCCAGAAGCTCTAATTGAGCATACTAAGCAGCAGCTGTTCACAACTAAGAACTGACCATGCAGCTCCACTCCCAAGCAGCTAACACAAAGATTGTGTGTGTCCCCACACATGGGCAGGGAGGCACACACAATCTAAACTGCTTCACACTCACCATTTTTTCATTTCTTTTTCACTTTAACAAACAACACCAACAAGACAGACTGTTCTCACAGAGTGCTTGTTGAAGAGAAGAAACTGATGCTGCTTTGTTCTGGGTATCCTTTATATCTTCTGCGGTACGCCATTGCACATCTCAAGTCACACAGTACCAATAAAGATTGGAGTAGTTGCACATGCGTTTCAGACACAGTCATGCAGCAGAGTTCCCCATAGCATCTGCTTTTGATGCAGTGCAAGATAACTTGAAAGGGAACTGCAAAAATAGTCTTAAATAGACAAATGAGTACATATTGCATGTACTTTGAGTTCCATGCAGTAGAAAAAAAAATTACTAATATCATAATATAATTCCTCATACAATAAATAAATGTGAATAAATGTAGAAAAAAATATGTAAGAGCCATCATTTGTTAGACACTATGTATCCAAATATAATTTCACGGCATCAACTGATTATTTGTTGCTTGACTAGGCCCATGTCCTGCCTTATGAGGTAATTGGCTGCATTCACAATCAATCATCCATATTTAACATATGCATAAAAGTGCAAATATCAAGCCGGTATCAAGCCAGTTGCATTTGGCCACAGCTGAACGCATTCTTTGGGATGTCTGTCTTTTTTTGCATACTTCTGCTTTTCTTTCAACTTCATGCAAAGGCAGAAAAGTCTCTTTGCCGTATGATGGGAGACCCTAAGTACCCGCTCTTATCAAAGGATGGAGACGTAACTATTGGAGCACTTTTTCCAGTCCACAGCATAGAGACAGTACCTTCATTTAAGTTCATGCAAAAGCCTCAGCTTTTATCATGCTCAAGGTTTTTTACTTTAAAAATTCATTTTAAAATCATTACAGCAATTAATTAATTCAAAATTATGTTTGTTTAACCTTTTTTTTTTATTTTTTTTATTTATTTTTCTCACAGTGTGAGTCTACGAGATTTTCGAATGGCTCAAATCATGATCTTTGCCATTGAGGAGATTAACACAAGTGTAACTTTACTTCCAAATGTTTCAATTGGTTACCAAATTTATGATACCTGTGGTTCAATACTATCTTCTATGGGTGCAAATATGGCATTAATGAATGGTCAAGAATTTGTATCAGGGGACAGATGCAATGGACAGTCTCCTATACATGCTATCATAGGAGAAACAGAGTCTTCCAACACAGTGATTTTGTCCAGAACTACTGGGCCTTTTAAAATTCCTGTGGTAAGGAGCAAAATCACTAAATGTTTGACATAATTACCATAATGATAACTGTTTCACTGTTTCCTGTGCTCTTTTTTTCAGATAAGTCCCTCAGCCTCATGTGAATGCCTCAGTAATAGAAAAGATTATCCCTATTTCTTTAGGACTATTGCTAGTGATTACCACCAGAGCAGAGCAATTGCATACATAATCAAGCATTTTGGCTGGTCTTGGGTGGGGGCTGTGAACAGTGACAATGATTATGGAAACTATGGAATGGCTATATTTCTAAATACAGCTGAGAAAGAGGGCATTTGTGTGGAGTATTCTGTGAAATTTCAGAGAAAAGAGCCTGAAAAACTCAGAAATGTTGTAGACACAATAAAAAAAGGCACTGCAAAAGTCATTATCGCATTTCTGACCAATTTTGAGATGAACAATCTACTTGATCAGTTAATTATTCAGAACATGACGGGCCTACAAGTAATAGGTGTGGAGGCATGGATAACAGCAGACAGTATGATCACTTCAAATAGTTTTCAAGTTCTAGGAGGATCACTAGGGTTTGCAGTGAAAAAAAATAATATTGAAGGTTTTGCGGATTTTGTTATAAAAGAATTCTGGGAAACAGCTTTTCCATGCACACAGACTGAGGGCAATTCTTCACAAAATGAATTAATTTGCAACGTATATCAGGATCTCCTTGTGCTGAAAAGCAACAATGAAGATGTGCCAGAACAAAGATATGCTAGCAACGTCTACAAATCAGTTTATGCTGTGGCTCATTCACTACACAATCTGCTAAAGTGCAAAGAAAAGGAGGGTTGTAAAACAGATGCGAAAATACAACCACAGCAGGTAATAAAATTACACGCACACACACACACATATATATATTTATTTATTTATTTTTTTTTTTTATATATAAGTTGACAATGATAGGGAATGATAGACAGAAAGGGAGCAAAATGATAACTAATTTCTTTCTGAAAATGCCTTTTCCTCAATAGGTGGTTGAGGCTCTGAAAAAGGTAAATTTTACCATAAAGATGGGAGATCATGTGTGGTTTGACAGCACTGGTGCAGTTGTAGCCCAATATGAAGTTGTGAACTGGCAGCAGGACTCAAATGGATCAATCAAGTTTAAAACAGTTGGATACTATGATGCCTCACTGCCCCCTGACCAGCATTTTGTACTCAACACTGAAAACATAATCTGGGCTGGAGGACAGCTCGAGGTAAAGTTCATCCTACGTTTTGTGGGAACTGGGGGAACAAAATATCAAAACACTTGCAATGGCCTACACAAATGACATAAAGGATATCACGTTAGACACACACACACACATATACATATATATATATATATATATCAGTGGTGGGCCGTAAGGGCCAGCAAAGCCTTCTCTGCTGGCCTAAACACTATCAGAATCACTGATTTAGTTTAATATATTTTTCCATGAATGTGTATTAAATTATTTCCAATAGTCTATTCTCTTCATTTCATAGTTTTTCTCTTGGTTGCACTGCTTCCAGCAGTGTATGTTTATATTAGAGCTTTTTTCCAATCATATTTCAGCAATCGTGTTGCCAGGGTCAAAGAAATCTGCCTTAAGGCCTTCAGAATCAACAGTGCAGGCGTCTGTTAGCTTAAATAAATGGCAATGAAACTGTTGCTTTAACCAATCAGATTTCGAGTTGGCAGCACCAGGGCCATCTAGCTGGCTAACGATAACGTCAGCATTTTCTCGTCCTTTGATTGGATGGTCAGCATACTAGCTAGCAAACAGCATCACTGAAAATTATTTTATTAAAACTTAGTAAAACTTTTATTACTGTTTCTCAGGTTTAGATTTTCAGTGCATTTTGAAAAAATATTTGCCTCCTATATTTAGTAAATCTAAAAACAGTAGTCCTAATGACTGCGAAAAACAACCACACACCTCGGCACCGGCTCTGTGAAAGACTCGTGAAGATGAAAAACCACTAGAGTATGGTAGGTTAATTTTCATTTTTGACTCTTTTATCGCTTGATGCGTTGTATGCTGATGTTATTTACGCGATATAAAGCCAGGTTTAAGTTTCCGTAAGAACATCTCAGTTTCCCGAGTGGAGCTGTATTAACCGGTCTTTTCCTCCGGCCGCAGCACCGCTGGCAGAGGCAGACCAGGAGATGAGAGTCACAGAGGTACGTTAAAACACGTATACACATTTCTTCATCGTCTTGTATGAATTATTTTTATGTTACTTGCTCACTTTCCTAGTAAAGCTGTGCTAACCAGTATTTTCCTCCTGCAGTGCGCTGGCAGACCGGCGGGGAGACGTGTGAAGACGAAATAAAGCAGTAAGAGAACATTAATTTGTTAGGTCAACTTTAAAACACATGTAATCGCCTTATTTGTTTTATACCAATGCTATCTGTAAGGTATAAATGCGTATTAAATAATATTATATTGGCACAGCGGCCCAGTAAATGTCCTCACTTACGTTATTTGCGGCTTCCATCGTGACGTGAATAATAGCTAGTTAGTTTATCAGTGTGTATATATTTTTTTTCAATAGAGATCCCACAGTGGGCGGAAATTGTCATAAAGTTAGTGATAACAAGGCCCGCCCATTTAGAGGAAAGATATCATGATTGGTAAGATTTTTCAGTCATTTAAAATTACACTCCCATTGATTTACTATTGCCTGTAATTTCACAGCTGGACCACCAATCACAGAGCCGCAAACCCTAGGCGGAAACATACTAATATGGAGAAAATGGGAAAATGAGTTCATTTAACACATTCACTGAATAGGCAGATTTGAAGAGTTTATTGCCACATAAATTATATTTATTTTATTTAGATGATGATTGTGAAATTATGAATTGCTTAAATAAAAATTATGACTTTTTATTAAAAATAATATTTAAAAGTTTATCATTTAAAAACATATTTATAAATTGTAAATATTGTTTTTACAATAGTTTAGGCCCTCTCTGAGGTTCCCCACTGATATATATATATATATATATATATATATATATATATCAGTGGGGAACCTCAGAGAGGGTCTAAACTATTGTAAAAACAATATTTACAATTTATAAATATTTTTTTAAATGATAAACTTTTAAATATTATTTTTAATAAAAAGTCATAATTTTTATTTAAGCAATTCATAATTTCACAATCATCATCTAAATAAAATAAATATAATTTATGTGGCAATAAACTCTTCAAATCTGCCTATTCAGTGAATGTGTTAAATGAACTCATTTTCCCATTTTCTCCATATTAGTATGTTTCCGCCTAGGGTTTGCGGCTCTGTGATTGGTGGTCCAGCTGTGAAATTACAGGCAATAGTAAATCAATGGGAGTGTAATTTTAAATGACTGAAAAATCTTACCAATCATGATATCTTTCCTCTAAATGGGCGGGCCTTGTTATCACTAACTTTATGACAATTTCCGCCCACTGTGGGATCTCTATTGAAAAAAAATATATACACACTGATAAACTAACTAGCTATTATTCACGTCACGATGGAAGCCGCAAATAACGTAAGTGAGGACATTTACTGGGCCGCTGTGCCAATATAATATTATTTAATATAAACACTGCTTGTTTTTAATGAAGTGTATATTGCTAAGTTGTTTTACTGTGAGCGCTGTCATGATGTGTTGGCTTATATTAAACATTACATTTGTTGGTTTTGTGCTCAGACCGATTGTGTGATGATGCATTTGTAATAAGGATTTTCATTTTACTTAAATTTAGCTATGTTTTATTTTGGTGATATCAGTTACTCTCACTGCTCTGTTTTCTTGTTGCATTTCTGAAAGGCGGTCGCACACTGGACGAGAAGCGCAGCGCAGCGCCGCGCCGCCGCCGTCCGATGCATGAAGCCCCGTTCACACTGGGTTGTGGCTAGAAGGGATACAGCTCCGACCAGAAACGAACAAAGAAAATTAAATTTTCGACATAATAGACCGATTGTGTGATGATGCATTTGTAATAAGGATTTTCATTTTACTTAAATTTAGCTATGTTTTATTTTGGTGATATCAGTTACTCTCACTGCTCTGTTTTCTTGTTGCATTTCTGAAAGGCGGTCGCACACTGGACGAGAAGCGCAGCGCAGCGCCGCGCCGCCGCCGTCCGATGCATGAAGCCCCGTTCACACTGGGTTGTGGCTAGAAGGGATACAGCTCCGACCAGAAACGAACAAAGAAAATTAAATTTTCGACATATTAGATGTGTTTTATTAACGTCTACACCTAACCCAACCCTAAACCACCCCTTACAATAATGGAAAAATAGTAATTATTGTTGTACAATGTGACAAAAATTATGCTGTATTGATGTGCGCATCCCCAGTAGCGCCATACGCATCCCTTCTAGCCTTAACCTTCACACTGCCCAGCGACAAAGTGACATGCTCCCATTCATTTTCAATAGAGAGCTGGCGACTTCCGGCGACACGAGCGACAGTGACCGTTGGCAAAAGAATGTGGGCGGGTCAAGCGATGCAAGTCAAGCGACAAAAGTTAAGAATTGTTTCACTTTATGCAAATGAACAGCGAATTTCGCGAGCGACAAACAATAGGAGTGAAGAATCTGTCAGTGGCGCTCACACGTCATGGTCTCAAGTGCAGGCAAGACAGGACAGATTTCCTGAGATGTTTTATATGATTTTACTGTAACTACATACATGGATATAAAAAAAGTTATGCGTAGAAAAGAAACTGTTGGCTGTTTAAGTGAGTTTGTTTCATACATTGATGGCTCAAGTTGTTAATTATATGATGCAGTGAGCAGTTTAGCACCGGTTAATGATTTAATGCAGGAGCACTGCTGTAGTTTATATAACAACACTCTCCAACAGCAGAATGGTACTTTTATTTCTTTTAAGTCTAATTCCTAGTCATAATAGAATGATATCTTAGTTTTACCGGCAATATATATAGTTTGTGATTGCATTTTATGTCCAGATATGTCCAGAGGTGCAGTCTACCAATAACATTAGAGCGACAGCAGTAGGAACGCCCACAAGTGTCTTCACAGTACAGCGTCTAGTGACATACAGTGAAAAAGTCGCTGGTAGTGTGAATGGTGCTTGAGTATAGGGCAATTTATCGCACACTGGATGCGTCGCTTTCAGTTCGAGATGGCAGTCCAAAACCTTTAATCTACTCTCCAAACAGTCAAACATTCACTTCAAGAATGAACAAGTGGTGTCAAAGAGTTTGAAGTTCAGTGATTAAAAAAAAACAGAGCAAACAGAATGAGAAAGTGCGGTCTATTGTAGTTAAAGCAGAGAGGCCGGTGGTGCCGCGTCTAGAAAACAATGTGTTTGAATATTAAAGACATGGTGTGGCCCAGCACTGCGCTTCTCGTCTGGTATGTGACTGCATTAAGGCTGGAATAGCCTCTTCTAGACTTCTCAAAAGTCGCTACTGATATATACTGTGTATATATATATATATATATATATATATATATAATTAATTCCTGTGGCCAGTAAAAATAATTTAGTTTAGTGGTCTAATTTGTATACAATGTATTTGTATTGTTTACTGGCAATGTAAATTCAGAGCAAAAAGGCCAGGTGAGATTTGATCAAAGAGACAAACAGACAGAAGCATCAGCAGAGGGCATTGGTGAGCAAAAGAATGAAAGCACATTGCTATGGCAGTAATGGTGCTGGATTTCTTTGAAAGTTATTATCTTTGTAAAAAAAAATTAAAGACTGTCCAATAGCTCCCAGTGCACATAGGAATTCAACATTGAAACTTTTAAATAAATAAAAGATAAAAATATAAAATATCATTATTCTGCATCTAATAATATGCAACACATTTTTCTATGTAGAAACCAAGGTCTGTGTGCAGTGAGAGCTGTCCTCCAGGCACTAGGAAGGCTGCACAGAAAGGAAGACCCGTCTGCTGTTATGACTGTATCCCATGTGCAGAAGGAGAAATCAGTAATGAGACAGGTAATCTTTAGCATATCTCAGTTTAAAAGAAAATAGGTTATTTCCTTCTCTCTTTAATTCCTTCTTTTTGCAGTTTCTGCATGCAATGACTTAAAGTGTTCATAAATTATTTATTTATGTATTGTTAATAACTATAGTGATCACAACTTCCTTTCCAGATTCAAATAACTGCAAGCAGTGTCCAGGGGAATACTGGTCTAATGCTGAGAAAAATAAATGTGTGTTAAAGGCTGTAGAGTTTCTGTCATTCACAGAAGTTATGGGTATAGTGCTAGTCTTTTTCTCACTCTTTGGAGTAGGAATAACAGCGCTGGTAGCTGTACTGTTTTACAACAAAAAGGACACCCCCATAGTAAAAGCCAACAACTCAGAACTGAGCTTCCTGCTGCTCTTCTCATTGATTCTGTGTTTCCTCTGTTCACTTACTTTCATTGGTCAGCCCACTGAGTGGTCCTGTATGTTACGTCACACTGCGTTTGGAATCACTTTTGTCCTCTGTATCTCCTGTGTTCTGGGGAAAACAATAGTGGTGATAATGGCCTTCAAGTCGACACTTCCAGGAAGTAATGTCATGAAATGGTTTGGGCCAGCACAACAACGACTCAGTGTTCTTGTCTTTACACTAATACAGATTTTTATCTGTGTACTATGGCTAACAATATCTCCTCCATTCCCTTACAAAAATAAGAAATATTACAAAGAAAAGATTATTCTCGAGTGCAGTCTGGGTTCTACTATAGGTTTTTCTGCTGTTCTGGGTTATATTGGCCTACTGGCTGTCTTGTGCTTTATTATGGCTTTTCTGGCTCGCACACTGCCTGATAAATTCAATGAAGCAAAATTCATTACATTCAGTATGCTTATATTCTGTGCTGTATGGATCACATTTATCCCATCTTATGTTAGCTCCCCAGGGAAATTAACTGTAGCTGTGGAGATATTTGCAATTTTAGCTTCAAGCTTCGGTTTACTATTTTGCATATTTGCACCGAAATGTTATATAATCATGTGTAAGCCTGAACAAAATACAAAGCAGCATATGATGGGGAAGATTTACAACAAATAAAATGATTTAATGATTTATATGGGTCATTTCACATCAGATAGAAAATAACAGATGGTCACTAAACATTTTGATACATTCAGAAATAATACTTGCCATAAATGTACATGATTCCATATGTTTCAGATATGCCCAGAATTACTCTGATAAACTCTATAACCAGAAGAGTAAAGGAGGCCTCAAGCATTAAAGCAAAAGAGAAACCCTGGGAAAGCAGATGACAAAGGATATTTTCCCAGTATGGTGCAGACCCTGCAAATGTTGACCTTAGCACCTTTCAGAACGTAATCCTTGTATGAAAAATTTATCAGTATGAGGACAATAAACCATTTCAAAATTTGGTTTAAAAAAACAATCTGTCAACTACATTTGTTAGCTTAATTACTATTCTATATGTTGTAGGTTTTTATGTTGCTAGTTAAGCTAAATAAATAGTTTTATAAATAAATAAATAATGATAATTTATAAGTAAATAAAGAGATGTCATGATGGCAGTTTTAATTTAATTTTAATGGTGGTTTGTGAATGGTTGTAATAAATGTAAACCAGAGCTGACATGAATAACATTTAATTAAAAGTTAATGTGTCAATTTCACAGACTTTATGTTAATAGTGATTATTTTCATTGGAAACAACTGCAGCAGATGGTAGCTTATTTAAATGAAAAACATGATAAAGATGTCCATAGCCTGTGTGTATTTCTTTAAACTATTATAAGTGCACTCTTGTGCACACTTGATTTGTAGAGCACTATTATACTTATTGAAGTGGTTTTTATTTGATAAACCTCTTACACACACACACACACACAAACATTGGGTTTCCATGTTTTATGGGGACATTTCACAGACATAATTATTTTTATACTATACAAACTATATTTTCCATTCCCTTATACTAAACCTACCCCTCACACAAAACTTTATGCATTTTTACAGTTTTTTTTACATTTATTGTTCACAGACACTGAGCTGCGCGCAACTTGAATGTGAGCTGAGAAAAAAAAGTTAAACGACAGACATTAATTTTAAGGAATACAAATTACTACTGGCCTTTTCAAATTTCTCAGATTTTAATGTCATTTACGTTTTTCGTCACAATGTACATATTAGCAGTTTTCAGCAGACATGAGATAAGAGTTAATGTAGCTATATCTCTAGAAAGGCTTTCTTCTGTGATTTCACGTGTCTAAGAACATGTTTAATAATCTATAAAAATCATTCTCAATCTTACTCTAGAACATTGTAAATCTGAAGGCTTTTGCTTTCGAGTGCTGTGCATAGAAAAGTTATTTATATTATAGGCCTAATAAAAATATAATTTGCTTATTAATTCACATGCATTATATTATATAGCCTACACAATGGTGGTTAAAAGGAGGACATAAGGCTTTTTATTTATGTATTTATTTGAAAAAAGATGACAAATACAGTACAAACAATAATATTATGATTATAATATTACACTTAAAATAGTGGTTTTCTATTTAGGATATTTTAAAATGTATTTTATTTCTGTGATCAAAGCTGACTTTTCAGCATCATTACTCCAGTCTTCAGTGTCCGTTCAGAAATCATTTTAATGCTGCTTAATTTGCTGTTTAATCATTATCAGTTAAAGAACAGCATTTCTGTAACGTGTCAGTCCACTGAAGGCGAGCGTAAGTGAGAACCCAAGTGCAGTTTATTTACAGTGTGATCCAAACAATAATCCGTGATTGACTTGACATGAACAGACTTGACGAGGCACGAACAGACTAGATTCACCGACAGCGGGTTACAACATCAATACATGACCAGAGACAATGGCAACAGGAGGGCTACTTATACCAAACAATGAGGGTCACATGACAAGAACAAACCAATAGGAAACAAGACACATGACTAAGACAACCAATCAGAACATGACACAAAGAACAGAGGAACCAATGGCATGAAGACAAGAGGGCAAGGGAAGCATGACACTAACAGCATGAAATAATTACAAAATAAAAGACATGAGAACATGAAACAAAACCCAAACCCCACATTACATATCCCCCCCTCTAAGGGCGGCTCCAGACGCCCAAACAAACACAAACAAAACCCAACAAGTCCAGGAGGGTGGTGGAATGGAGGTGGAACTGGGGGAGGGATGGAGGGATGGAGGGCCAGGCCCATGAAGTGGAACAGGCAGAGCAGGGAGCCATGGCGGAGCAGGCAGAGCGGGGGGACATGGCGGAGCAGGCAGATCGGGCAGCCATGGCGGTGTAGGCAGAGCAGGAAGCCATGGCGGAACAGAGACATGGACAGATCACTTGACTGTGACGGAGCAAGCAGAGAGTTCTTGAATGGCCTCCTTGGCCATGAAAGGACAGACAGTGAGTTCATGAACGGCCTCCATGGCTGTGACAGGGCAGACTGTGGGTTCATGAACGGCCACCTTGGCCATGGCAGAACAGACAGTGAGTTCAAGAATGGCCTCCATGGCTGTGACAGGACAGACAGTGAGTTTGTGAGCGGACGCCACCACCTCAGGAAGTTCTGCAGCGAATGCCACCTCCTCTGGAGGTTCTGCAGCGGAAGCTACCACTTCTGGAGACACTGGATTGGATCCATGGACAGGAGAGGCCTTTGGAGCAGACTCATGGATAGGAGAGGCCTCTGGAGAGGCCACTGGTGCAGATTCATAGACAGGAGAAGCCTCTGAGGCAGATTCATGGATAGAAGAGGTCTCTGGAGCGGACTCGTGGACAGGAGCAGACTTGTGGACAGGAGAGGCCTCAGGAGCAGACTCGTGGACAGGAGAGGACTCTGGAGCGCAGTGTGCAGCCCACACGCTCAAAATGGCGACCGCCATTACAGGAAGGGCAGCAGAGTGTGGCATGACCTCTAAGATGGCGGGGCTTGAGAGCGCTGACGTTACCGGGATGCCTGCAGCTCGCACCGACATCGGAGGTGGGTCCATCACACTAGCAATCAGACCTTTCAGTCCAAGCCCAAGCTCCATGTCCGACTCAGGCGTGGTGGCTATATTGGCCGGGGACTCAGGCTTAACGTGAGCAGACTCTGAAATGGCGGCCATTCCCACAGTAAGAGGTGACCCAATATAACGTTCCAGTGACCAACAAATAGCTCCCCCTGGCAAACTTGAACAAAGGGGTTCATCGATACCAAAACGAAAAATGTTTTTGAGGGTCACGTCATTAAATTCCACAAAGTGACATACCTCATAAAAATCGGCCACATACTCCTCTATAGCCCGGCCGCCCTGACGCAGGCAGAGGAGACGTGAAACTGCTGGGTTCAGTTTGTTGTGGTCGTGTATTCTGTAATGAGTCAGTCCACTGAAGGCGAGCGTAAGTGAGAACCCAAGTGCAGTTTATTTACAGTGTGATCCAAACATCCAAACAATAATCCGTGACTTGACTTGACATGAACAGAGTTGACGAGGCATGAACAGACTAGATTCACCGACAGCGGGTTACAGCATCAATACATGACCAGAGACAATGGCAACATGAGGGCTACTTATACCAAACAATGAGGGTCACATGACAAGAACAAACCAATGGGAAACAAGACACATGACTAAGACAACCAATCAGAACATGACACAAAGAACAGAGGAACCAATGGCATGAAGACAAGAGGGCAAGGGAAGCATGACACTAACAGCATGAAATAATTACAAAATAAAAGACATGAGAACATGAACATGAAACAAAACCCAAACCTCACATTACAATTTATTTTAAATTTAAGTACTTCGTAATATGTGTAAATATCTTTACTGTCACTTAAATCAATTTAATGCAACCTTGTTGAAGAAAAATATTATTTTTTATTTTTTAATCTTACCCAAGACTGAATGGTATCACATTTTCCACAAAAATATGAAGCAGCACAACATTTTTCAACATTCATAATAATCAGAAATGTTTCTTGAGCAGCAAATCAACATATTGGAATGATTTCTGAAGGATCATGTGACACTGAAGTGTGGAGTAATGATGCTGAAAATTCAGCTTTGATCACAGCAATAAATTATATTTTACTATATATTTGCATAGAAGACAGCTAATTTTAAATGGTAACATACATTTCACAGTACTGTTTACTGTATTTTTCATCATCAAAATAATTTGTATACTCTTTTCCACAATTGGAGCTCTATTCCTTAAAATGATAGATGTCAAACTCCTGCAAAAGTACAAATACTGTATATCACCAATAGAAAGGCACCATAAAAACAGTCCGCCTTCTGCACTAATCAAGTCTTCTATACGATACCAGAGCATTGTGCCATATGGACTGATAATATTGGTATTTAACTTTAGTGATATTAAACTCTCCCTCGTAAAAAAATCTTTAAAAAGATTTACTATTTGCCATATACACCAGGAAAGACAAGTTATAATGTAAAGAATGCCAGTCATTTATGGTGTGGTACAGTGTGTTGCGGACCGGGTTTGGTGGGCCGCTCTGTGCCAAAAAGTCCAGGGCCACTCTTTGGCTGCAGTTCGCCCCTGCTCTCTCCCACCCTCAATACTACGACTGAGGTGAGACCCTTGAGCAAGGCACCGAACCCCCAACTGCTCCCCGGGCGCCACAGCAAAAAGGCAGCCCACTGCCCCGGGTGTGTGTTCACTACTGTGTGTGTGCACTTGGATGGGTTAAATGCAGAGCACAAATTCGGAGTATGGGTCACCAAACTTGGCCACTCGTCACTTCACTTCACTTAATTTTACCAATGCCTAGTCTGTTCCACGAATGGTAAATACAATTATTGATGCTAATTTGTTTGGTTGTGGCAGGGCTCAGACTAATGCTCTTTTAAACTTCTAATTTGTTATGTTCCTCTATATCCCTAGACTCATTTGGGACATGACATAAATTGGGTTCTCGTTCCATTTCTTATTTTATTTTTTTTTAAAGAATTTTGTGGAATATGGTAGTTTCCTTCTTTAGCTGATAAGTTGACTTTTTGCATTTATAGTATACAAAGTTGCTTTGCAGCTTCGA